TTCATCATTTAATCCAGCAATTTGTACTGCACTGAATTGGAAACAGCCAAACTGTAAGTTATAGAAAATTTGTTATTTTGAACTAAATTACAATATATATATATATATTTATTTATATTTATATAAATTTTTTTTTTTTTTTTATAAAAAAGACGCGGTGTTTTTCAATTCACATTGTGGACTCGATGATAATCATGGTAGAAAGCGTAAAGAGCAAGAGGACGCGACATACGAAGAAGAAATTGAACAAGATAAGCGCTGTACATCTATCAAGGAAGCAGTAAAGTTTGCAAAGATGAATAATCTTTTGGGAGTCATTTTTGAGGCCACATTATTGGTAAGTGCAATGTATTGGTAACACGTAATTTTTTATAAAATTTTCGCACCTTAATCTTTTTCTTGAAACGGTTTTATTTAGGTTCATGTTCCATCATTAATAACTAATGTTAAGCAAGCCGGATTAATATTAACTACATTTGGATCGGCGAATAATGATCCTCATAATATTCGAATCCAAGAAAAATACGGGGTTGATGCTATGGTGATTGATGGTGTCATCAAATACAATGCACGATAATGAAAATGTATTTGACACATTAATCAATATTCATCGAATTTTTGGAACCAGCTAATCTAAACTGTAGTTTTTATTCCTCGGTTTTAATATATGTATAAATGAAATAAGTTAGTTTCCCATAACTATATTAAGATCATAAGGATTAATTAATAATACCCTGGGTTATATGCGTATGAGTGGAAACATCGCTTTCGCTAACACTCGACGACCCAGGATATTATTATTATAAATATTGAAAACAATAATAAAGATATAAGGCTATTCTTTCTTAATTGTAGTCTTCGCGCGTATTATTAAAAACAAGATGTTAATTGGTCTCGAAAGAATTGCCATGAATATGCCTAAACTGGAAATTTTTTCCGAGACCTTATTTTAAGGATACACACATTTCAATGATTGGTGAAATTGGCTATGCATGATCCTCAAATGGTAAGTCGCGTATTGTATTAATTATTGAAAAAATAAATAATTCGGGGTAACAGGTATACTAAATATGTTTACACGTTTTTTTTTTTTTTTTTTTTATTGAATATGATAAATGAATAAATATGAATGCAAATAATAGAATAATAAATTTAAATTTAAGATATAAAATAACTACATATATAATGATATAATCTTGATATAAAAAATAGATGCAAAAATATTGAATGTAAATAATGTAATGTACATATCAAACTTTTGATAAAATCACTTTTTACTAAAAGGTATACACGGAAGTAAAAAAATAGTATTTATCTCCGAGCTGTGATGATCTATCGTAAATGTGGATTCTTTTTCAATCTTCCAACTCGTATTAGTCAGAAATGGATCCTTTTTTAAGGCAAGAGATAAAAACGTGTTAAATACAGACGCAATCAGAGGTTATCAAAGATTAAAAGAAAAAAAAAGATACTTACAACCATTTTCGTCCTATTGTAAAAATAGAATTCGTTCTTCGGAACAAAATCAACTTTATATCCTCCAATCAATTGTTGATTATCTTCAGGTGAAAGAGCCCAAATAGTTGTTGCTAAGATTATAGAAGCTAGAGTGATTAAGTGGAGGAATAACAAATTTTCTATAACTTACAGTTTGGCTGTTTCCAATTCAGTGCAGTACAAATTGCTGGATTAAATGATGAA